AGCGCAGACAGTAGGGTGGAAAATATTTCCATTTGGAGGTGTTGTAGATGCCTTACAGAAGATAAATTATTTGGCTTATTCCACACAGAAACTAGCTAATGAGACTAGTGAAGCTCTCTGCTTAGTAAATGATGAACTCCGTGCGTTATGAGAAGTAGTGCTGGAGAATTGGAAGGTTTTAGACTTGCTGACCTTAGAAAAAGGAGGGGTATGTCACATTCTCATTGCTTCCTGCTGTAAATATGTCCCAGATAACTATGAAAATATTGATAAATACGTAGCCGATCTTCATAGACTCATTCCAAATTCTGCTCTGGAGGGATCGCTTGATAAGATCTTTAACTGGGTTGGCAACATGTTTGGAGATATGTTTTCTGGAATCTTACAGCAACTGCTCCATTATGTACTTCCTTTTGTAGCACCAGTAATAGTTGCTATTGTTATTTACTTTTGCCTCAAAATACTCTGGTGTAGGCGTTCCTTATAATCAAGGAAACACTTCATTTCCCCAAATTTGCCTGTATGCAGACTGAAGGGAAAGAGACCCGTCTTTAGGACGTGAAGAAAGAGGGAAATGCTGGCCATATTTCTCTGGAAGAGGAAAGGATAGATTGATTAAGCTTGTGAGAACATACATTTTGTAGTATGTTCTAAGGGGGGAATGAAGGAATTTATTGTTGTGAAATGTGCTGTGTTGTGGGTGTATGTGCAGAAGTTGTATTTTAGGCTGCCTATTTTGTGTTTCTCCTTATATGGTCATGTCTGTCACACCTGACACTCATGTATAGGCTGAGTCTAATCTTGGCATCAGTCCAGCTATAAAACTGCATCAGCCCAGTGTCTTACGGGCTGGCTGGATGTCTGGAACCTGCGCATGCAACGAATAAACTTCACTTTGTCCAGACAACAGATCGAGTCTCCAGGGTTTGGATTCTATCAACATATTCACATAATCAAGCTTTCTGTGGGATGTCCAAAGAAACAAAAGAATACGATTAAAAATTCAGGCAAATCACTTAAGCTCATTCTGCTCCACATGTAAAGTTACTGTCATTATTCACTACTATAATTAATGGCTGCATTCACAATATTCAGTCTTCATCAGTAAAATAAGAAGATTTATCATCTAGCTATGTATACTGAACAGAAGACATCTGGAAAAAAAAAAAACACCACTCACTGCTTTATAACACTGAGCTTTTGTCTGCAGTACTGTGTACCGCCAGTAGAGGCATTTCAGCACAGCAGGCTCAGGAGAACATGATGAATATGTTAAGGCTAATCAGTGTTATGACTAATCATCGCTAGTCAAATCTCAGAATCGCTGTACTGCCCTACAGTAGAGCTGTACACAGCACAGCACTTTTCTCCAAGAATCCCTTCATCATGATTGCTTTAGTGCTGGTCACTTGTGTCTGCAACAGTGTGCACAACAGTGACAACAGTGTATGTGTGAGAAAAGTTTATGCAGACAGTTTAAAACAATATGTAACCATACCAGACAGCACCATCTAGATACTTTTAGCCAAGGAAAAAGTTTTACTTGATTTTGTAAAATGTAAGTTTTAGACAACACAGTAATGTTACTGTAACATATATAACATACATATATAACACATACGAAGAATCTGTGCTGCAGCCCAGTTATACAAAGAAATATTGCAATGGTCAGTAAGCTACGGAATGGGCTACGGACTAAACAGGTGGAGGAATACTAATGGGGTAAATTCCAATCTGCTGATTGTTCCCCACAAAATGGACTACACAGGATTTCCAGACAACGTATGAAAAAGTTAAGTTTGAACTTCAACATTCATTCCTTCATTCATTGTCTAAGCTGCTTATCCTCCTAGGTCATGGGGGTGTTGGAGCCTCTCCCAGCAGTCATTGGGCAGAAGGCAGGAAACACACTGGACAGGTCGCCAGTCCATCACAGGGCAGAGGGAAGTTCTAATGAATGTCGTAAGGAATTTATCATTGCACAGAGTAGAGAATATAGGGAGCACTGCATTGGAACTGTGAACAACAAAATACCTTGATATATGTGCTCAGTATTGTATTCCAATACAATACATAAAAGGTGATTCAGAATACATGTACACTACATTTATAATAAATATTGAAAAAGCTAATAAAAACTCCACTGTTGTCATTTTTATCTAATTCAATCTGTTTCTTGCTGTTATTGGTTGGCAGTTTTCTTCATGCAATTCTTCTGTTAATATGTTTCATGAAAAATTCCTACTAAATTTTCAGGCACATGCCCAGTCATTTTCCTTCCTAGCAGATGTCTCTCTTGCCCGAATTCTGAGTCCTTCCCCTATTACTTCTTGTTCATTTTGCCCTAATCAGTGAGCTTTATATGGAACTGTTTTCTGTTTGTTTGCTGCAAAGTCTTGATGTTTGTCTATGTCATGCTAGCCTTTGTTTTGGGTATTTATCTTTGCTGTTTTCTGAAGTTTGTATTCACATGCATTTACCTTCATGCCTTATCATGGTATTTTTCTGGAACTGTTTATTCTCCTCATTTGTTGAGTGTTGCCTCTCTGTTGTAAATTCACTGCAGTAAATCAGCACTTGGTATCCAATCTTACTTTCTATATCAACATTAATTTGGCTCTCAACGCCTGCTTCAGTCCATTGCAGCTCCCACAATCCCACTGTTGTCTCATGAATTAAGCAAACATTGACATATTGCAATCACAAAATCTGGCAAATTTGACTATAAAGTGAGTAGCTACATGATATTCAGTTAATAACGTTTGTAACTTTCCACAAAATGCATGTATGAGTCCAGCACAACACCACTGCTAAGTTTACCACTCGTGAACATGTCCACTTCAGAGGTAAGTGTTAATAACTGATCATCACATTGATTTATCAGTATACCCAAGCTTTAGCAGAGCTCAGTAATGATGTGACCAGAATCAGAACCAAACATGGTCAGGCAGCATTCTTTATGCTGCCGACTGCTAGAATAAACTCCCAAAAATTTTTCAGGGTTTGTGTGGAGCACTTTAAACTGTCACTGTGTATGAAATTTGCTATTTGTTCAAATATGCAGTTGATAAGGTTTTTGTTCATTGCTGATGATATCCATGACATGCTCAGAAAAGCACAATGTGACATTTTATCATTATAATGATAAATACTGTTATATTGCCCAGCCCTACACATACTTAACTTCTGTATTCTGAACATGTATTCTAAATACTTCCGTTACATCCCATCCCTGTGTGTTTGTAAACTATTCTCACAGGCAGAATAATGTCTTATTCTTGCTAAACCAACACAATGACCATGGAGCTCAGAGGTAGAGGCACACCATCCTGTGTTGGCATCTTAAGTGCAACCACAAGCACAGACACAAAAACTCACTGGCCACATAGTCATAGTCTATAAATGTAACATTTAAGGGTGTAGAGTGGGGGGCTGGGGTGGGGGATGGGTTATTTAGGTAGTTGAGGTTTTTCTTTTGTTTTAGTTAAGCAGTGGCAATTACATCTTTACCTAAGGAGGACATGAAATATGCTGGAGGAAATGAAGCAATGCTGAAACCTCTGTTAAAGAGCAGGCCTCAAAGAAGCCTAGAAGAATCCAAAATATGCCCAGAATTTATCACAATAACAATAAATATTGTTGTATTGCCCAGCCCTACAGATACTTAACTTCTGTATTCTGAATGCATTCTACATAATTCTGTAACATTGCAATAACATTACAGTATATTCTGTTACATCCCATCCCTGTGTGTTTGTAAATTATTCTCGATGTCTCATTCCTGCCAAACTAACACAATGACCATGGAGCTCGGAGGTAGACGCACAACATCCTGTGTTGGCAACCACAAAGACAGACACAGAAAAACAGTCCCATCTCATAGGTCACAGGTCAGAGTCACAGTCTATTAATGTAACATCTGAGATGTGAGAGCAGGGAGGAGTTATTTAGGTGGTTGAAGTTTGTCTTTTGTTTTACCTAAGCATGGCAATTACATCTTCACCTAAGGAGGATATGAAACTCAGTGATGCAATGCAGAAAGCTCTGGGTGAGAGCAGGCTTCAAAGAAACTTGTACATATTTTTATTTGGGTTTACTTTATATTACAAAGAACTAAATTGAAACAGAACAGAACAATGGAAAGAAACCTCAAATAATCTAAGCAATCTAAATTAACACACGAAGAGTGCAGTAAAACCACACTGGCTCACATTTCAATATGGAAAAAAAAAAAAGAAATCTCTCACTCTTTACGTACACACTATGACTTAAGTTTCTTAGACTCAACAAGTCTAATTAGTGACAAAGTAAAAAATAAAAAAACTTTGACAAGAAATTTTGCGATTATTCCAATTTAATAGGGGGTATTTTTAAAAAGTAAAGACATTATTTTGCCACAGTATATTAGAAATTGAGTTTTGGCAAGTGTTATTTACTTATTTATTTAAACAAAGATAAAGAAATACATTACTTTCTTTTCTCTCTGAGCACTAGAAATGTTGACATCAAAAACAACATAAGCTTTTCTCAGGGATTAAATAACACGCAGCCAATATTAACCAGCAGCTGTAACGGTGGCAGACGGAACCAGACGCTCACAGCAGAGGTTTGAGTTAAGATCTTCAAAGCCAAAGGGGTTATCTAGAAATCACAGTCTATAAACCTAAGCAGAACGTCGAAAACAAGAAAACCAACTCAGGAAAAAAAAAGGGTACAACGGGTCATACACAGGAAAGCAGCCAGGAACACAGGAGAAGCGCTCGGTACGCACATATGTGTGACGATACTTCACAAATAAACTAAGCTAAAGCCCGGGTTTATATACTAAACTAACAAACAACGGAACAAGAAACAGGTGTGTGTGTGTAATCGCTAGTCCGGAGATGAGGAGCGCTGATAGGTGGATCGGTGAGGGTCCCGAGTCATGTGATGCAGCAAGGAGTCCTGGGTAGCGCCGTTGGCTGTAGTTTCAGCCAGACCGGAGAGAGACGTGACAGCAGAAAAAATGCGTATCTAATGAGGCAAAAGCACAGAAGAGCAGCGACCCTTTGGTCATTTTGTGGATGCTGAAACTCCATTGCGCCTGTTTGGTAAATTTCCTTATAGGGCCTAGGATCACAAGAAAGTCTCGTTGAAAACTGTGTCCACAATTAACTGGTAAAATCATATCTCTCTCTCTCTCTCTCTCTCTCTCTCTCTCTCTCTCTCTCTCTCTCTCTCTCTCTCTCTCTCTCTCTCTCAGGAAGTGATGAGTGTTGAACACAGAGCTCAGTCAGTCAGTCATTACGGGGACAGTATGGAGTTCAGGTCACTCTCTGTAATACTCTGTGAGTAAATGTTCTCTATGTCTTTATTAGGGTGAGAGCTGCTGTATGAAGGTGTTAATATTCAGTCTGAGGGTTCTGAGTGATCAGCTTCTGTGTAATTGAGTAACTAACTGCATGTAGTTCAAGACTGTGTGAGACTCCTCAGACTATATAACTTGAACTGATTCTTCAGCTCCAGCTCTGTACGACTCATTAATTCTATCTGTGATACCAGCTAATATTTTATACTAATGCACCATATCCATTGTTTCTGTCTCTACTTTAGCACTGACTGTCCTTATGCTCAGTGGACATACTGATGGTAATTAATTCATATACAAATTCACTCATATACTGCATTATTTTGTTTGTATTTATGTATACATTTTAAACCTTTCATCTAACAGGTGACTTAAAAGTGGCCCAAATTGGTATAATACAAATATTAACCTGTTTATTGCATTACTGGGATCAGTGCAATAGTAAATTAAGCTGATCTTGTTGATGTTTAGTAGATCAGTGTAGATCTTTCCTTTAAGGATACATGTTTGTTGTTGGGTTCTTACAGATCAGCCAGTGGTTAAAATTAAAGAGCCTTCTGACCAGAAAGAAATATTCATAGGAGAGACCGTCACTCTAATGTGTGAAATAAAGGGAGAAGAAGGCCGGGTGTGGACTTACAGCTGGTATAAGAATGGAAATGTTCAGCCATCTGAAGAGCAAAGTGAATACACATTTAAGGCGACCGAAATTGACACAGCTGAATTTACCTGCAAGGGAACACGGACTCAAGGTGACCCAATGAGCACAAAAAACAGTGGTCCTGTTAAACTGTCTGTGTCAGGTGAGTTTGTTTATCTTCAACTCTTTGCTGAATATTTAGTGTCACTGAATGAATCAGTTTTACAAGTATGGAAGACACACTAAGGAGTTTCAAAGCAGAATTTCTATTGACAGTGCAATTTATTATAATTTAGTCATTGGGCAAGACTGCTAAAGCTCTAGTTGGCTAGTGTGTAGCATGTTAAATATTTGGCCGAATGCAGTAAAGGTTATGATTTACGTTTTTTTAGCTTATTTGGATCATTAATATAAATCCCACTATATCAATAGATGTACACTGACTTGCTAGTTTATTATGTACACCTACCTTGTGCCTGCACACATTGGCCATTTTAACAGGTACACCAATCATATAGGTGCACATCATAGGTTTACACTTACTGATGTGGCCCATCTGTTGCTGTACAATTTATTAATCGCCCTCTAGCTCATTCATCAGTTGAAATGGACCACCACTGAAGATATATTATTTGGATGCTGGATCATTCTCAGCACAGTAGTGACACTCACATGGTAGTGTGTTTTGATTTCTGGTATGAGGGCATCAGGCACAGCAATGTTGCTGATGTTTTTACACATTGGGTGGAGAATAGCCCACCAACGAAAATATCCTGCCAAAAGCATGGTCAGAAACTAAACACTGATCAAGGACTAGAGGATGACTAACACAAATCATGTTTGGAAAAATGATACCAGCAAGATGGATGAACAAGCTACGCGTGTCTAATAAAGTGACCAGTAGGTGTATATAATGTTTAAATACTTCAGGAGCACTGCAGTGTGCGATACACTTGCATGAGAACAATGCACATCACTACCATGCCACTTCTTTGCTGAGAATGATCCACCACCCAAATAATATATGCTCAGTGGTTGTCCTAGAGTGGTCCCTTTACATTGACGGATAGGGTAGAAGAAGGATGATAAATCATTAGAAAGGCTCCAGTCAGTAACTGTAAATCTACAAAGTACTTATTTAAGATAAATGTTTCTGATAAAATGGCCTGTAAATGTAGTTAGATGTAGGTGTACCTAATAAACTAGTGAAGTGTAAATGGCACAAGTATTGTGTTCAGCATAGAGCTGGGCGATATGGCCAAAAACGTTATCACGATAAACAAAATTCATATCATTCGATATCGATACGTATCGCGATAAATGTCAAATCATGATTTCTTTCACATTTGAAGGCTGATTTTGCTCCTGGGTGGTTAACTGTGGTTTTAAACTATCACTTATGGTCCGATCATGACAAACACTCGGCAAACAGTGGAACATTTCACTAATCTGTCGTGGAAGAGTGGGAGAAAGTGTCTGAGCTGTTTTTATCAGCTTGAAAAGCACAGCTGCAATTTTTGTAATAGTCATAATTTAAGAAAGAAAACAGATTATTTTTAGCTGTCTGGCGACGAGCGCTCGGCTACCCCGTTACAAATACTAAACAAGTGGCCAACAACAGTGCTAAACTCTTTAGTTTCTCAACAATGACAACTCGGTTCGGTAGGTCACTGCGGTCACTCCTACCACATCCATGTCAGAGCATATCACAGTATTCAGACAGCAGCTAGCGACGACTGGGTTTCTCTGTTTAAGGGGTGAACCGCAGTATATCTGACGCTCGCTGTGTAAAAGCATCATCTACAGTGTGAATCTCTCACACCAGTCAAACAGAGTCCTCCTTTCAGGTATGTTTAAACTGAAAGCGGTGATTTTGTGTCTTGTTTGATCTACAGTATCATCAATTCACCGTGTTTTGCCGGAGCGCTGCTTCAAGTTAGCCAGCAGCTAAAAACAGCTAGCCTGGAAAGACAGCGCTCTCCCGCTCTCCAATTCCTCATAGCTTCCTCAGTTTACTTTCGAACATGAACCCACTTCTTTCTTTCACTTTCTGCTCGAGAATGCACTAATACTAAAATATGACGGTTTGGCGCTGTAACACGGCGCTGCAGACGTGACTTAACACCACTAAAGCTGGTTAGGCTGTTAGTAAAGAGGTGAGTTCACTGTAGGACAGTACAGTTACACCACTGACCTCGTCACTCACACTCGGTCACAGGAGAACAGATCGCCGATAACATCCACTCAAACAGGGACTGTGTAACTCCGCGTTTGAGCCGTTGCTAAAGTATATTTGGCGACCCTTTTTTTACTCGTGGCCCCCTCCCTCTCTAATCAAGTCGAAAAACTCGGAAGTGCGCCCTCTCCTGGCGACAGCAGAGTAGTGTCGCTTTCCTTGCAGTAGAAAACGCCACCAGGGCTTTTGCTAAAAGGTGGAAGTGTGAGAATGGTGTATTATATCGAACATTTATCGAACCTGTCTTATCGCTCTATCGAGGAAAAGTTATATCGCGATACTTATCGTTATCGTTTTATCGTCCAGCCCTAGTTCAGCATTAGAGATTACAGGTTCAGTGAGTAAATTCTTAATGAATACAGGTTAATATTAATGTCACAGGGGCAAACATAGAATGTTCAATGGGAACAGAAAATCAGGAGGAAGACAGACAAATAAATAAATAAATAAATAAATAGTAAGTAGAAAAGCAGATAGACAGAGTTCAGAGTTTATACAATGTCATGATCACGATTCTTGGTTCTGGATGTCTGGAGATCTACCACCCTGCAGACCTTAGTTCCAACTTAAATCTAGCACCCCTGGTTCTGATAATGAACATTAGGGTTAAAGCCAGGTCTGTTGGATATGAACTCTCCAGGGTGGTAGATTTCCAGGACCAGGACCGAGTACCGCTGTTCTAAAGCAAGGTTTTGTTGTCCAGCAGAACTATTATTTAATATTCAGGTGATGTAGTTTGAGTTTCGCTACTTCATACACACTTGAAACATGACTAAAAGCCTCAATATGTGTGCTCATGTGATTATATAATAATTATTCAGTTCTCATATGACATGTCTACCTCCTTTACTGACAGAATATACAATAGTGAACATACATAGCAGAATCTATATGGACCATTCTATCAAGTTAGTTCAAAGTCAGGGTCGAAAAGATATTTTGAACTTTTAACTGACTTGACTTTAAACTAAATTCCTTTTGCTTTGAGGGACCCTACACCTTAATCGTGTTTATTTTATTAAAATAAATGATTGAACATTCCATTTTGTCTCTACCAAAACAATCACAACACTTCTGAAACTTTACCATATGGTTTGGAAGTGACTGTTTTTCTTGCGACAATTTTAGTTAATTTTAAGGAGAGTTCAAACATGCTAGCCGGTACATGACTAGCAAACACAGCTTTGAACAGCACACACATAAAATCATACAATTTGTCATTAAAATATTATTTTTAGGTGACTCTTTTGTTCTATGGCGAGCATTGATGTTGTTTGTTGCCTGGTTTGTCTGAATTATTCCATTGTTTTCATAGTCTTTTTTTTGTAGCTTGTATTTCATACTCAGGGTTGTTTAGTGGTTGTTTTCTATGGATTCCCCTGCCCTCTGTGTTTCTGCTAGCTTTTTTTTTGCACCTGAGACTGACTCTAATAAAAAGCACTCACACTTGTATCCTGTCTCCACATCTTCCTTGCCAACCCTAAAGTGTGAGAGTCTTACAGAAACTGGAGATATCAGTGGTATAAAGGCAGCAGTAGAACTGCAGTCTATCAGTCTCAGACAAACACTTTCACCATCAGATCAGCAGATCAGGATCAGTACTGGTGTAGAGGAGAGAGATATTACAGTCCCTCATCATAAAACTTTTATACATTCACTGTGTTTAAGTAATTTGAGTTAATTAATGTTTAATACATTATCTCAGCCCTCTGTTTGGAATAAGATGATAATATTTTTATTCTGTTCCTAAAACCTTACATATGTAACCTTTTTCCTGTTGAGTACCCTATGCTCCTTAACATTATGCTAAATAAAATGTGTGTTAAATAACTACATGCTAAATGAGCAGAGCACAGTAGTGGCCTTGTTTCTTCTGGTTCAACCTTATGCATTACTTTGTGTGGTAAGAAGTACATTATCTAGTTTTATTCGACTCAAATACATATGTTGAATAAAACATTAGTTTACAGTTTCAAAACTGGTTTAGTCAGGAGGAGCATATTTAGTTTCAAGAGTCAAAGGTCAAAATTTAGATGAAGCTGCTTTGTATGCTGTTTTTGCCAGGCTTGTATTAATATTGTTTGTTTTCAGATGTATTTGTACTGTATTTCTATCATTCTTTATAGTTTACATTGCCACTGTAAACAACTTCATCGGATGTTTCCACAGAGAGACCAAAAGCTGTGGTGTCCATACAGCCTGATGATCAGGTGTTTATAGGAGAGACCGTCACTCTCAGATGTGTCATACAGGGAGGAGGAGTCTCTAACTGGCAGTACAGCTGGTTTAAAGATGATCCATACACTCCTGTCAGTAATGAACAGCAGTACAGAATCAGCTCTGTTACAGAGTCTTACAGAGGAAAATACACCTGTAGAGGAACAGAGAGAGGAACATCACGCTACTCACACACCAGTGATGCTGTTACACTGACTGTGTTCATTAGTTTATCACAGTATCACAGCAATTTAGATGAGACCAGATGTTTAGTCTGTGTTATTATTAATGTTGTTCTCTTCTTTCTGTAGATAAACCCAAACCTACACTGACTGTAGATCCAGAGAGTCCTGTGTTTAGTGGAGAGTCAGTCACTCTGAAGTGTGAGATTAACCCTCGTGATGGATGGACATATCAGTGGTATAAACAGAATAAACAGAGTAGATGGACTGCAGTGCCTCAGTCTGAGTATTACACAGTAAACAGAGACACTCTCACCATCAGAGAAGATGCTGTGATTAATGGAGATCAGTATCAGTGTAGAGGAGAGAGACGTTACAGACCAACATCATCACAGTACAGTGACTCTGTTACACTCACTGTAAAGGGTGAGCTCGTTATCATTCATGTTTTTTTTATGTATTTGAGGATGAGATCTGGCAATCACTGGTCCAGAAAGAGACACTACGAGTTGTTTTTACCAGAACATTTAGTAAATAGCATGCATGCATTATTGTTTATGTGGTAACGCTTTATTTTAAGGAACACATGTAGGGTTTTTTTAAGGGCTAGATCTTTGTTCAGTAAAACCCATTCCCTGTACATTAAGCTTTTTCATTTTAACCTGTATTAGTGCACAATTGGAAGGCTGTTAAAATCACTAATAATTGCATTTTTTATTGTAATAATGCACAACAAACAAACACTTTGTTCAGGCATTGTTATGCAAATTATTGAGCATCAAACAATCACCTAAATTCACATATTAGTGCATCATTCCTATCAGTTCTAGGTAGCATCAAGTGACGTTTGGGGTTTACTACTTTAGAGCTAATAAGAGTTTAAAAAGTTACTAGTACTTTAAGATATGTTCCATATTCTAAAGTCTTGTGTACAATATTTACATTTTAGAATATATACAATTTATCAGTATTTGGTTGTTAAAATGTGTTGAGACTTAAAATATTTCCAGCTGAAATGTTTATAGCAAACAAAAATCCACCAAAATCATCTTTGCACTAATACAGGTCAAAATGAATAAAGCTTAATGCACAGTAATTAAACCATTTAGAAGTCTCTAATTTGGTTTTTATTGAACAAAGAGCAAGCTCTTAATGACCCCCTTAATGTATTCCTTAAAATGAAACCATACTGATATTCTCTTTTTCCCTCTCTTTCCAAAGTTGTACCCAGAGCTACACTGACTGTAGAACCAGAGAGTTCTGTGTTCACTGCAGAGTCAGTCACTCTGAAGTGTGAGATTAACCCTCGTGATGGATGGACATATCAGTGGTATAAACAGAATAAACAGAGTGGATGGACTGCAGTGTCTCAGTCTGTGAACTACACTGTAAACAGAGACACTCTCACCATCAGAGGAGATGCTGTGATTGATGGAGATCAGTATCGGTGCAGAGGAGTGAGACGTGGCATGCTTAAATCACACTACAGCAACTCTGTTACACTAATCATGAAAGGTGAGCACATAAGTATAATTTCTACTAAATTAGATTTGTGAATTTGGACCATGCCTTCAATATATGGTGGTAGGATGAGGGGAGACAGATTAAAGGAGGATAGAGAACTCAGAGAAATTGGGCTGGAAGTTTGAAAGGCTTCTTCTTGGAGCTAGACAGCCAAGTCCCAAAAGGAGGCATCATCAAGCAAAGGGACAGATGGAGTAAGGCCAAAGGATGTTCTGAAGCATTTCCTCTGCTGTAAGATGCAGGGGTGACCCAGGGTGGAAGGAGCGGGAGTAGCTGAATGAGAGCAGCAGGACAGTGAGGCATCACATGTAGGGGGGAGAGCTGAAGCATCACATGTAAGGTGGGAGATGGATGAGGAGCCTCTGTGGTAAAATAGAAAAAAATGTGGATAATGGGGTTGACTTGCCTTGCCTTTCTTGAAGCAAAGTACTTATCACATCATCATAGGATGTCTGGCTGCCCGCCTCACGGTTGATACTGATAAGTCCACTCAGATGTTCTTGGGCAATGGAAGACTGCAGGTTGATTTTAAAAAGTTTGAGCCTTAGGAATCTTCACTCTGCAGCTGTAACAGTAATATTTATGTACAGTTTGCACACCTTATTTTGATGAAGAAAACTGTTGCTGTCATTTCCTTGAGGGAAGGGGGAGGGGGAGGGGTGGAAAGACTTTCCAATTCTGTGACAATTGACCAACCATGGGTCTCTGACTGACCATGCGTCAAGATTTTGGAAATTGAGTAGCATGCCAAACTTGTCCTTTACTTAAAGCGCTCCTCCAAGGATTGGAAGACATAGTCTACCTAGCATTGAAAAAGGGTACTTCCATTCTCCTCATGACATCCACCTGTGGCTCATCTGCTGCTGCAGAAGTATTTCTAGCACATTCATTCTTTCTCTTGCTGAGACCAATACCTCTTTAGAACCAGTGGCTCTGTACCTGATCAAAGAAGTCTTGGTTTTGTGAATGAGGTCTACAGTGTCATCTAACTGCATGGTGGCAGACTGAAGGAGTTTGCTAAGAGTCATGATTTTTGAGAGAACCTCATACCAGACCACAGATTCCAGATCTAGAATCTTGTTCACACAGCAGGTAAAAGTGGCCCAAATCTAATCTTTTTCTTCACATGTGACATAGATGTGTTCTGTGTGGCAGTGTGAACAGCAAAAAAATACATTTAATCCGATATTGTCAATTCTGATTTGCGTCACTTTCGTATGTGTAACTGAAATCCGATATGCAGCTGATATGCAGCAATGCGACTCAGTCTGACCAGATCGGAATTCATGCGACTTATGTCAATTCAACTCGATATTCATCATAATTTCACACTGCTGAGGTCTCAAACATTAAGGGTGTTGTTTCTGTACAATCAAAATTAGATGACACTTATCTAAACCGTTCTGTGTTCACAGACATTTTGAAAAAAAATAACCGAATGCAGCTATAGGACAGAAGGCTGCAGTGTCAAGTTTAAAGGCACCAAGGACATGAATCAAAGATATGGCTGTAGCCAAATAACATGCCCTTTTTGCAGTGAGCTTGAACGCATTGTGGGTGATAAGCACAGCTGTCAGCCTTTGGAACTTATTATTAACGAAGATGAAATGGAAAAATGCAGGAGCGGCTGTTACTGTGACTCCATTTTGATTGTTTACCTCTGGATGACCGTGCTACAGGAAGTGTTATTGTGAGCAGCCTTACTTATATTATGAACAGCCTTACCAAAAAATCTAATTTGATGAGAAAATCAGATTTGGGCCACTTTCCCACTGCTGTGCTAATGTAGCCTATAGGATCCAACTTCCTCAGCACGTGAATGAGCATCAATCCTGATAGTAGGGTCATGTGCTGTGTCCCGCACACTGTCGATCTGATAGCACAAGGGCTCAATGCTTTTCAGTCTACCTTCCCACCATGTTTCACTTCAGCTCTTGAGAGTGATCAACCACATAATCCCTCAGTATAATCCAACTGTAAGGAGCAGCTGAGAAAAGACTGAAAAGCTTTTGCACTCCAAAAAAGCTTGTTGCATCAACCAATGCTCTGGCTGCATCTTCCACTATCACGTTTAATGTTTAAGCTCCACAAGACACAAAGAGCACAAGGATTTTTCTCTAGCAGTCTGGCCTGCATTTCTTTGTTTTTTCCATTCATATCAGCCCCGTTGTCTTAGGACTGGCCTTTTCAGTCACTGAAAGAGATGTTCGGATGTTCCAACTTATGCAGAATTAGTGATGATAGTCCAAGGCCTGTGTATTCAAGAGCTTCTGGGAAGCTGACTGTTCTAATGACTACTGACATCTGTTCATTGTGGCTGACATCTGAGGTTCAGGACAAAATGATTGTAAATTCTTTGCATTCTTTCATTTAAGAAACAATTTAATTTACTATCTTGTCACTGATGCATGAGAACAGTTCATTTTGAATTATTTTACCCAGTTATGTGGTACTATTGTCTCACTTTGCTGTGTTCTTTTGATATAGGATAAAACCTCTTCTTTAAGGAAATTACCTTTGTTGTGCTGGTTTAAGTTGTCAACAGAACTCTTGAGAGCCAGATTTCTTTCTATTTGTAGCCTCAGTTAGGGTTGAGGTGGTGGCAGCACAGCCAGCTTCTTCCTGTGAGGCTTTACATAAGGTTGAGGAGGTGGCAGCACTGACAAAGAGTTCAGTTGGGGTTGAGGTGGTAGCAGCATTGTCAGCTTCTTCCAGAGTGGTGGGGTTAAGGTGAAGGCAGCACTGACACATATTTCAGTTGGAGCACTGCCAGCTTCTTCCTGAGAGGTTTTACATGAGGTTGAGGTGTTGCAGCAATGACAAAGATTTCAACAGGGGTTCAGACATGGGCACAGTTCTGCATTCTTCAGCTTTCAACTTGTGACTGACACAGTTTTTCCTGTTGTACAGGCCTAAAAAAGCTCAGTGGTTAGGCCACTTTTAAAATAAGAGTCCTTGTCAGAACAAACAGCAGCACCTCCTGGCCCGACGCATGACATGAAGACAGTGGTGGGGACATCCTCTCCATTGGTGCACCGAAGTGAAGAGACTGAAGTGGGGTGTGCAACGGCTGCAGTGGTCCTTTACTTGCCATGCACTGGTTACAGCAATGCACGTACTGCTCCACATCCATGTGGCAACCCAAGTATGCATGCATTCTATATAGGTGCAAGCAAGACATTGTGTACTTGGCTCAGGCCCCCCATGACTGTGAGCCGCTTCCTTCCTCTCGTGTCGATTCAGCTATCAGTGACAAACTTGAGTTTGATGGTTGTCACTTCCTGGATGTCAAGTGCACTGCTGTTGAGGTGGGAGCATACCTGGTCATAGCACTGATCTTCTTGCCTGTTTTATTGACACTGATGGTCATTCTGCCTGCTGGCTCAGGGTTGAGGCATTGACTGGTGCAGTGTCCCCTCTTCCTGCACTGCCAGCACACCAGTTGCTCTGCCACCATTCGCTCCAGGGCTGCTCAGCATGATGTCTACTACTTAAGCTCCTCCGCCATGTAGCACTGTGTTGCTTGACACAGTGACTTCATGCCAAGGATGAGTTCTGTCCTCTCTGCCTCAGTGGTGGCTGCTTGAAGGCTGGCCAATGTGGTGAGCTGCATGTGCCATCTCAGCTCCTCCAGCATCAGCACGTTCAGGAAATGTTCCAGCGCTAACTCTTCCTGCTTAGCCTTCTCAAACACTGGGTATCTCTGTCTAAGCTTCATGCTCAGTTCTACCATGAGCATGCTTATCCACTTTCCCTTTAGCTTTCACCTCTCCAGGAGCAGCCACCTGGCCACCTGGTGACAGGTGACCACTTGCAGCTGTGCAGAGAACAGCTCCCAGGTACCCTTGCCATTGTAACGGGGTAAGCAGATGCATGCCGAATTTTGCTCAACAGGCTCCAGCTAAGCAGTGCTGCTAAGACTCGCCGTACTGTTTTCTTCGCCATCTTCCCCAGCCAGCTGCCTCGCTCTCAGCTGGCTGGACCTGTCCAGGAGGGGGTAGGTGTAGCGCTTGGTAACCCCTTCCTCTAGGCTTTGTCTTTTTTGCAGTCTGCTGCATGCCACTCCTGACACCAATGTAGCATCAGCGCAGGAAAATGCTTTTAATTGAACAGAGAGCAAAGAGACCGAACTATGGAGGGGGAAAAAGGCAAGGAAGTCACTAAAGCCAAACACAGCACGAAGATGGTAAAATACTACCAGCATGTAAATTAGCTGAAAAGGATACAATTTACCACAACCAAAACATAACACATTTCAGCTTTAAACAACACACAGCACATAAAATTTAAAATAAATAAAGGCTGCAGAGAGGCGCACAGCATTCTGGAGGTCCTCTATGTGCTCCTCTCTGCTTTCCCAACTGACCCAAACCTTAAGCTCAGAGGTGGCACCACAGCACTAATGACTGCATAGTAATAAATTCCTGTTTAGGGCTCTAATAAGTTAACTTTATGTATTATGGATAACTGTCTAAGCGTTCTCTTTCCAGACTACTTCATTCTTTTCTTACAAGCTGAAACGAACAGCCTGTTAACACATTCATTTTCTTGCAATGACAATGTTTCTGGTCTTAATCTCCTTTTAGAAATCAGGTAAGGGAGCCTACAGTTGAACAGGTTTGTCATGGATTACGGCAGTTGTATGACTGTTTGTAACCTTATACAGTTAGCTCCTTACTTATCGCCACCTTTTGTATTTCCATAAAGTGTGTATGTATATATACTGTTTTATGAATAATGTTTTCTATCATACATTGTTGAATATAGGTGTTACACTAACATGTTTGTATAAGTTGTCATTTACATTGTTACATATGTACATGTTATAATTTCCCTTATATCCTAATTATAGTTGACATATGTGACAGATATAATTAGGATATAAAGGAAATTCATACATGTTAATATATGTCATATATTTAAAAAATAAAAAATAAAAAAAATAATATATTGCCACATTTCAGATTTCTTTAGTTGGTTGCTTATTTCATTATTTAATGCACATGAGAGTGAATAAATGTCCACACACCAAATAAAACAAAACCTGTATGTATGCTGTGGATTCATGAAACTCATTCTATCATGAATAGTTTGTATTATTGATTATGGAACTCTATCAGCATCATTCTAGAAAACTTGTCTGCATCTTGCAGGTGCATCTCTTTCAGTCTCTTTGATGGTCAGTCCCAGCAGAACTCAACACTTTATTACTGACTCTCTCTCACTGAGCTGTGAGGGACAGAGTGACTCTACTGGATGGAGAGTGAGACGATACACACACAGTGAGAAGGTGTCAGATTGTTCATCAGGCTGGGGATCAGTTACAGGATCTACATGCAGCATCAGCTCCCTCAACACATCCCATACTGGAGTGTACTGGTGTGAGTCTGAATCTGGAGAGAGCAGCAATCCTGTCAGATGCTATTGCAGTAATAATAAAAGTAGAAAACTAATGTAATATCAAAATTAGTAAATACAATTCTTAAGCTTTTTTTTATATATTGTCATGCATTTAGCAAGTACAGCACTAAAATAATTTCATTGTTTCAGGTGCATCTAATTCAGGAGCTTCATTCTCAGTGTTCAGTCTGCTCAGTAGTTTAATGGCAGCATCTCTGTATCTGCTGGTGTCCATCGTGCTGGCAGTCAAATGCTACATGGCTTGATGTAAGAACTCACAATCTTTCTGTGAATCATTTACAACAGATATACTCTGACAGGCATTTCTAAATTAGCCAGTATTCTATGTTAATATATGAACTTCAAAGTTGATAAATTAGAAATGTTCATCATTGTATTTTACACAGCTAAGACTGATGAGGAGAACAGAACATAAGCAGCAACAGAAGCTGCAGCATGTTGATAAGTGTCAAATAGAATATATTTACCTTATAATTATAATATTGCATGCTTTAAATGTCTGTATTTCTGATTTAAAGTCATTTCATTCTTTATGAATATTTTTGCATATACTGCACATATGCATTTGCTTGTCACTTTTAATATTTTTATTTTTCCATGCTGTCTTCATAAACTGTTGATACTGGCTTTCTTAAATTTAGATTTTTTTTTTTTTTACTGTAACAAACATTGTACTTTCAACATAAATATGCAGATCAGTTTTATGTAGCATTATATATTTCCTTTTAAAACATGTGAA